CCTATAAAACTCCTGGCAAATAGATGGGGAAGAAACGGAGGTAGTGACAGATTTTATTTTCCTGGGCTCCAAGATCACCACAGATGGGGACTGCAGCCAAGACATTAAAAGACGCTTCCTTCTGGGGAGGAAAGCTATGGCAAATCTAGACAGCATTCTAAAAAGCAGAGACATCACCCTGCCAACAAAAGTGTGTATAGTCAAGGCTATGGTTTTCACAGTTGCAATGGATGGCTGTGAAAGTTGGACCATAAGGAAGGCTGAGTGCCAAAGAATTGAAGCCTTTGGTGCTGGAGAGTCCCTTGGACTGCAAGGCGATCCAACCGGTCAGTCCTAGAGGAGATCAACCCTGACTGCTCTTTAGAAGGCCAGGTCCTGAAGATGAAACTCAAATACTTTGGCTACCTAATGAGAAGGAAGGACTCACTGGAGAAGAGCCTAATGCTGGGAACGATTGAGGGCAAAAGAAGAAGGGGACGACAGAGAAGGAGGTGGCTGGATGGAGTCACTGAAGCAGTGGCCGTGAGCTTGAATGAACTCCAGAGGATGGCAGAGGACAGGAAGGCCTGGAGGAACATTGTCCATGGGGTTGTGATGGGTCAGACACAACTTCGCAACTAACAACAACAACCCTATAAAACAATAGCCTTCCAAAGTGATAGAAATGGTATGTGTGAATGACCTTGGGACACAGGGGGAGGAGCTAGAGTTAGGGGAATGGTTGGATAAGATAAGAGGTAGCTTAGCCCACAGAAGGAATGTGGGTGTGCAAACGGCTCAGATGGGGCCCTTCCCAGTTTCTTGGGCTGTAAAGGTGACAAGGAAGAAAGGTGCCTTCAGACTTGCAAGATTCTGTTTACAATAAAGTGCATTTAGTTCATCAGGGTGTGCTTCCTATCTGGATTACATCGCAAGGTATGAATGACCCATACTCTGTTGGTTCTTTCATAAAGCTATAAAAACACAGTTCTCAAGTAGGATGATCTGCTCCCTGATAGTTTATCCCGATTGGTACGAATAGGTGTGAGTTGATTGTCCTTCTCTGGTGCATGATACGCATTTTTGTTTTTTGTTGTTTCTATTATTTGTTTTCTGAGTTAATCGTAATATGTAAGGTGCATAGAGTTAACAACCCTGATGGGTGGAAGGAGCTGGTTGGCTGGCAGGCTAGCTGATAGATGGAAGGATAGATCTATTGAAAATAACTGGATAAGCAAATGATTATCAAATACTCAGAAAGAACTCCATGCTGAGCGAGAGAAAGCTAACCACTTTACAAACATATAAAACATATTGGCAGAATACCTGAGTACTTAATGGGGAAAATGGAATGGATGGTTTTTAAAAGAGCACGGATTGACCTAATGTTTTGCTGTATAGTATTTTTCATTTATCTGAGCTGATCTAGGAATATACCCAATTTCAACCAAATCTAGTAAAACTGTCATAGATACCAGCAAGTAAAAGAAATAGTAGCATTGATTTATGTATCTATTTTGTGTTGGATGTTTTACTTCCATGGATACAGTATGCAACATTAAATACTTCATTCAGACTTATCATGGTAGGCAGCCCTCGACTATGATGATTTTTCTGCATCCCACGGATAGGGGCTTAACTTGCTTGCACAGACCGGTTTCTGGCATGCTGCGGCCTGGTGCCAGTCCACAGAACGGGGGTCGAGGACCCCTTCTTTATGGAACACATATATACATCTACACTGAAGTGTTAAGAATGAAGGTGTTGTGGCCTGTCAGTCACTGGCCCCTCCAGCAGCTGAATCAGAGGAGGAGGAGGAGGCATGGGAGTCAGGATCAGCATCAAGGCAACCTGAGAGCTCCGAGGGGGAAGAGGGAATGGAGCTGGAAGAGAGAGAGAGAGACAGAGGCGGAGCCTGGGCCATTTGTCAGCCCTCAGATGGAGAGTCAACAGCCCCCAGATCTGGAAGTGGCTGATGTGGAAGAGGAGGAACAGCTGGGTCCAGTGCCTGATGTGCGGATGCGCAAAAGGCAGAGGAGAGGAGAGCAGTGGAAATCTATGGGCTGATCCTTGGGAAGGAAGAGTCACCGCTGCTAGCAAAGCCCCACCCTAGCTCTGGGGATAAAAGGCAGGGGCAGAAATGAATAGGTGTGGCAGACAACTACTCATCTCCCTTCTGGGCAGACTTGTTAGCCTGAGGTGAAAGAGAAACTTTTTTTGTGATGGCTGCTGATGCTCCTAATAAAGGAATCATTGAGTTAAATACAGAGGGTTTGTTGTGTTTGGGGAGCTGGGTCAGAACAGAAGGTTTTTTAAAGTCACCTTTATGGAGTATGAAAGTACTGAGAGAGAGAAAAAAATATATGGGAGAAAAAAGTGTGACCGACTCCTTGTGTTCTGCAGGCCTGAGATGGACACTTTGTCCACACGTAATTTGCAATTCAAAGGAAACGGACAGAACACACAATATATTCCATATGTACTTTTGACCTCAAGGAGCTGGGAAGAATGGAATCCACAGATGGGAAAAGAGGAAAGACCAACATTTTCTATTTCCTTCCAGAAAGCAGAATGGTGGGAAGAAAAAGAATGCTATATGGTAAGAAAACAATGTGCATAAATCAGAGGCACAGAGGCAGAAACAAGAGAACAGATAAATGAGGGACTCTTTCAACTTCTCTTCCTAGGCAGAAGCCCCTCAAGCATAACCTGTGAAGTCCATCACTTGAAACAACTGAGAAGGGGGCACTCCTGACTGAGGATTAAAGAAGTCAACAGAAAAATCCTCAGAAAATTAAGGGATCCCCGTGACCATCCCAGCTGGCTTCCAACAAGCAAGTCAACGGGGAAAGCCAGATTTGCACAATAGCACTTAAGACTTTTATACCGCATTACATTGCTTTTACAGCCCTCTCTAAGCGGTTTACAGAGTCAGCCTATGGCCCCCAACAATTTGGGTCCTCATTTTACCACCTCAGAAGGACGGACGGCTGAGTCAACCTTGAGCCTGGTGAGATTTGAACTGCCAAATTGCAGGCAGCCGGCAGGCAGCAGAAGTAACGTGCAGTACTGCACTCTAACCACTGCACAATTATGGCTCTTAATGTGATTCACTTAACAATGGTGGTCATCCACTTAACAACCATGGCAAAAAAAGTCATAAAATTGAACCTAACTCCCTTTACAACTTCCTTATTAAGTGAAATTCTGATCCAAACTGTGGTCGTTAATATTTAATATTAATATTAAATATTAAATATTTAATAATATCCGATATTTTCCACCACAAGAATTATACTAAAAATGTCTTAGGGCAATGATTGCACCGAAATGTCGCGTGCGTGACCGCACTCCGGAAAAGCCAAACTTCCAGGTTATAGCGTGCATGTGGACCCAATGATCAGCTGGCCGCCGCGCATGTACAGGCCGGTTTTCAGCACTGCTGCACATGTGAAGGGATTGTGCTCCGGAAAAGCCGAACTTCTGGGTTCTGGCACGCATGCACACACGACAATCAGCTGGCCGGCGTGCATGCACACACCGGTTTTCAGCACTGCCGCGTGTACAAAGGACAGCTGATCATGGCATGCGCATGCGTGCCAGAAACCCAGATGACAAACAGGCACGGCTGTGCGTGCCAGGCGACATGGCTTTGTGTGCCACTTTGGCCACACGTGCCATAGGTTTGCCATCGCAGTCTTAGGGAATGGCCTTAAAGGACAAGAAGAAGAGACATCCCTTCACCAAGGCAATGAACAGACACGTATAGCTTGCCCTCCTTCCAAGAAAATAATTTGACAAAATGCCTCAGAGAGATCCTTTCCTAACTCTCAGGAAGTGAGGGAGGGAAAGGAGCATGATGGCTCACGTGGTTGGGAGGAAGCAGGAGGTTAGCAAGCCCGTGTTTGAGACCCGAGAGCTGCCGCGAAGCAGGGTTGAGCTCTCATCCTTCACTCCAGCTCCTGCCGGGGACGTGAAAGGAGCCCCCTCAACTGGGTTTCCCATGGGCAATGGTGATGTCACCAGCTAATCCTTGCAACCCGGAAGTGCCTCGGTGCTTCTGACACAAATGCAAAAAAAGTGAGGGAGAAGAAAAGCACATTCAGGCCTTCAAGACTGTATCACTACAGCTGTTCCAATAAAAGTAGTTCTAGACTTACACGGCATTGGTTTATTTATTCATTAAATTTATATGCTGTCCATCTCACTGCTAGTTTAGATTTGCAAAATAATAAAAAGTTTGCAGAATAATAGAAAGTTCAAAAGATAATTCAAAAGACTTACAATTAGAAGGATTAAATAGTTGGCTTCTTTGTCTGGTTTATCTTACAGGGCTGACATACACCATAAGCTAGAAGCGCTGTGGTGTTTGTGTGATGGGCAGCATGATTGAGTCATACTTGTGATATCCCTGAAGAATGGCAGATAGTAACTTGCAGTAAATTGGGAAACCTTATATTATTACAAATCTTTCCCAGGATCTACTCAGGTATCTTATTTTTTCTTTTATTTTCCATACTCTCTGGCCATGAGCTACTAATTATAAATTACATAGTCTATAATAGCATGTAAATAATAAAATATAAATAGTATAAATGACATAGTCTATAATAGAATGTAAATAATAAATAGAACGCAAACATCCCAATTAAAGTGTCTTTTTATGTCACTTTAAATGCTGACCTTACTAAGTGTAAAATGGAGTCAATGGCATTCAACCCATTGTTGATAGCAATAGCAACAGCACTTAAGACATATACTGCTTCACAGTGCTTTACAGGCCTAGCTCTAAGCAGTTTACAGAGTCAGCATATTACTCCCAACAATCTGGGTCATTTTACCGACCTCGGAAGGCTGGAAAGCTGAGTCAACCTTGAGCCAGTGAGAATCGAACTGCGGAACTGCAGTCAGCCGGCAATCAGCAGAAGTAGTCTGCAATACTGCATTCTAACCACTATGCCACCACGGCTCTTAGTATATAAGTAACTCAGACTGACACTAGTTTTGCTTGTGATTCTTACCTCTTTTTGGTCAAGTTGTAATGAGGATTTTATCAAGTCCCTCAACGCAGTAAGTTGCTTCTTTTCTTCATCTTGTGTTTGTTTTATCTAGAGCAAAAATATCCACAAAGTGTTACCCATGTACATTTCTTTATTTGGATCAACACAAATATACTGTACTTGTGTGCATCTTTATGTCTGTCTATAATATTAGATTTTTATCCCTCCTTTATTATATATATATACTTATATATATATAAGTAACTCAAGACAGCAAACATAACTAATACTCCTTCCTCCTATTTTCCCCAACAACAACCCTGTGAGGCAAGTTGGCTGAGAGTGTGTGACTAGCCCAAAGTCACAGTTAGCTTTCATGCCTAAGCCAGGACTAGAATTTATAGACTCTGGCTGATTGACCTAAACTTACCCAGTTGGTTTTCATGCTTGAGGTGGGACTAGAACTCATAGACTCTTGCTGATTGGCCCAGACCCATCCAGCTGGTTTTCACGCCTAAGGTGGGACTAGAACTCAGAGTCTCCTGGTGATTGGCCCAAAGTCACCCAGGCGGCTTTCATGCCTAAGGTGGGACTAGAATTCATAGACTTCTGCTGATTGGCCCAAAGTCACTCGATTGGCTTTCATGCCTAAAGTGGGACTAGAACTCAAGAGTCCCCTGGTGATTAGCCCAAAGTCACGCAACCGGCTTTCATTCTTAGGGCAGAACTAGAACTCACAGTCTCCTAGTTCCTAGCCTAATGTCTTATACTTTAATCATCTACAGTGGAAATAAACTGTGTGCTTTTTTCCTCTCTTCATTATTTATTCTCAGAAAACCATAATGAGCTCAGTCCAGAAGGGAAGTTTTGAGAATGCAGATTTTCTTTACACTTTTCCACCCCCATATATATTCAAAAATAAGCTACATTGAGGAAGTACGTTCAGTCTCTTCTAAAAGAACCACAGTCACTTTCAAGAAATTACTGATCCCATGGTCTGACCACAAAGAACGGCATTCCTCACGCTACAAAACACCATTTTACAACACTAACCCTTTAAACATTAACTGCCTACACATTAGACTCTCAGAACAGCAGGACTGGGCTGGTTATAAACTTAGGTATGTAAGAGTATAGGATGGCCACTGAATCTATGCTTAGCTGTCTTTTTTCTAGAAATATAGTTGGACTAAAAAAGAAATTTGCTGAAACAAATTCCCAAATAACATTGAAAAGTCATCTTAATAGCCAAATGGGTTCAGGTCCCAGGAGTTTCAGAAAAGGTATATTCAACTCCCAGAATTCCCTAACCAGCTAATGCCGACTGGAGAATTCTGGGAGTTGAAGTCCACATGTCTTAAAGTTGCCAAGATTAAGAAAGATTGTCTTAAAAGCACCCCAGAAGTTTCTAAAATTATAATAAAGTTATTTATTTCTAGGCTTACCATGACAGAGCCAATCTACCAGAGGGCTATTCAAGAGGGCCAGGCAAATACTTTCATTTTTCAAGCAATATAGGAGAGAGTCTATATATGGACTCATAAAAACACATCAGAGACACTTTCCACTTGTAAACTCATTTCATTCTAGGTAATCTGAGCAAACTAGTCTAGCTGGTTTAAGAAATTAGAAAATCGGCAAGTTCATTTGTGAAAGTAATTTTGTGAATCCTACCTCACTTTTTATTCTTGGCTATTTGTACCCCACCATACGCGATTATCAAATAAGGCCCTATTTTATGGATGACTTACGTTATATAAATCAGCAGCTAGCTTTTCAATGTACTGTTTGAGTTTATCAGCTGTCTTCAAGCCGTCTTGAAAGAAACTATAATGGAAATAAAATGTTATTCATCAGCAATGTTGGAATCTGGTTTTAAATTTAACAGTTTTTTCCCCCAATACATAGGTTACCCTGATTCCACAAATCCCATGTCAACAGAGAACCAGAGATATCTATAGATGGCTCTATTTCTGAATATAGTCATTCTCTTTGTGGGGTTTCTAAATGCTTACAATATTTTATTTTTAATACTGAATTTTGATTTTTTTATGATTGTGTGTGTATGTGTGTTCTTTTTTGTCTGATTGTGGTAAACAGTCCAGTCACTTTATATGAGATGAGTAGCCATATAAATTTGTTTATAGGTAGTCCTCAACCTACAACCATTCGTTTAGTGACCGTTCAGAGTTACAATGGCACTGAAAAAAATGACTTATGCCCAGTGTTCACACTTATGACCATTGCAGCATCCCCATGGTCAAGTGATCAAAATTTAGGAGCTTGGCAACTAGCATGTATTAATTTTAAATTTATTGAAGTGTCCTGGGTCAGCTGATCACCTTCTGATCTTTTGCAACCTTCTGACAAGAGGAAACAATTACAGGCCAGGCAATAGCAAATTTCCTTCAATGTGAATTATATCTTACATTCAAGGCAGCTTTTTCTTCTCTTTCCAGATTATATCAAGTCACCTCTCGATTCATTTTTCAAACCAGTTTGTATGACAGTGAAAGGATAATCAAATCAAACCTTCTATGCAGAAAACAATAGGAATTCAATATCTACGATTCTGAACAAAGGGCATTCACATTTTTGTTTTTTTGAAATCGAGAAATTTCAATAAAAGCAGGTGATGTCATCCCTGAGGAGAAAAAGCCTTCTATATTTAAACAAAAAAAAAAAAAACACATTGCAGATGAAGAGATGAAAAAAATATACTCACTTGCATTGTGCATGATAATACTTAATAAGATTTTGTAAAAGGTCCACACCCTTTTTCGTCTTGATTTCATTAACCTTAATGAGATACTATGGAGAGAGAGAAAAATCAAAGCTCAGTAGATAATTATACATTTGGGCCTAGCTGCATTCAAAGGCAGGTTCTATTTGAAATCTATTTTAACAAATTAAGCAATTATCTTGCAAGTTGTTTACAGCTAGCATCTGAAGTTACTCTGCTAATATGTGATTAAAATTGTGCTGTATATAGAACAGTAAAACATAGCAAGGATATTTTACATTAAGCCAATACTGTGATGAATAGTGCTTTCTAAGTTATCTAATGCTATTGTTATTTCTTCCTTCCTAATACAATTAGTATCCTTTTTAGACATCGAGTAGCTAGGTCTAAATTTACACTTAAGTGCTTTAAAGTAGTAACGCTGTTCTAAAGTACGGCACTACACTAAATACATTTAGAGGCATGAAAACCTGCAAATCTCGGGTTTACATGTTTTTTCAATATGGCGCAACATCATCAGCAAATTCCAACTTCATCATAAATGACGCTTACAAATTATGCTAGCAGCACATTATTTTTTAAAAATATTATCTGTAAAGCACCTAGAATCGCTCTGGATTGCAGTAGAGATAATCGACACAAATAAATAAATATCCCATTTAGTTCTAGTCCAAAATCTTGCGTTATCATTGGGAAGATTCACATGAAGTAGTAAAGAGAATGAATAGGGAATGAACAAGAAAACAGTATATGCTATTCTATGCTGCTGAAAGATTTACTGCAAATCTGAAATTCTGGTTTCATTTCTCTCCTATAAAGCCAGGAATCATAAACCAACAGTAAGCCACAATTTTATAAGAGAAAGAAAAAATCAGAGTCTTCTTTTAACACATAACTTTATTTAAGTCAGAGTTAGGGAGTGCTATCTGGATTTATTATCTACTATTAGGTAGAGCAAAGTGGAGCAAATCAAAATTCTTTATATACTTTGTATGTATTGTTAAGCATAGAACTGACACTTTTTTAAAGATTCCAAAGCATGAATTACCTTGCTTTTTTTTTTTTTAACCCTGAACAATTCCACAATAATCATCTTGCAGCCGCATCTAAGCAATTTAGGAACTGGCACAAAAAAATTAGGTTTAGAGCATTCATCTAGATTCTAGAATTATTGCAGGCCAGCACTGGGCAATCACATAGATTAATGCTGGCTGGGGAATTCTGGGAGTTGAAGTCCACGCATCTTACATTTGCTGAGGTTGATAAAACACTTATCTAGGCCAGCGGCCTCCAACTTTTTGCCACCAGGGATTGATTCTGTGGAGAAAGGATTTTCTGCGGACCGGAGGGAGTGTGGTTTTGTGTGCTGCCTGCATCCCGCAGATGGGGCAGATGGGGCATTGCTTGTTTGCATGGACCGGTTGCTGGCATGTCACAGACCAGTGCCGATCCACAGACCGGGGTGGGGGGTTTTGGGGACCCCTGATCTAGGCTGTATTTGCACAAGCGGTGAAGCTCCAATGAAAGTGTGTCAACTCTGAAGAGAACCTGGCTGAAGCCATCTTTAGCTGCCTCATAGTTGCCACATACTCTGAGGGGGAAGGGAGGGAAGAGAGGGGGAAGCAGATAAAACAAAGAGCTCTCCCATGGGAACCAAGGTCATCCCAACAGGTGAAAATTGGAGGAGGAAAGGAATGACCAAGGAACCCGCCAAATGCCTTAATTGGACAATGTGACCTGTGACACTTGGGGAGGGAAACAATTGTTCTTTTAATTATATCACAAAACGCGGGAAACTTTCAGAGTTGGTTTTCACTAGCTGTGCCGATATGATGTGTCCAATAAACATGTTCTTTGAGGAATCTACCTGCCTCGGAGTTCTGACTTTAATGGATGCGTTACTCGGAACACTGACAGAAAGATTCAATGTAATCACACAGTTTGCGCAAACTCAACTTTTATCCTCTTTTTGTGAATTAACCCTAAAACAGTTATTGAATTTGATACAAAGTTGGTAAGTGCTTGTCAATTTGGGAAGGAATGGGGAGAGTTTTGAGTTCCAATAGAGAAGTACCCTGTTTCCCCCTAAATAAGACATCCCCTAATAATAAGCCCAATCGGGCTTTTGAGCGCATGGCAATAAGGCTAAGCGCTTATTTCAGGGTTCAAAAAATATATATGACAGGGTCTTATTTTCGGGAAAACACAATATCTGTAGTTCAGGGTTGAATTGTGGCTATTTTAGGGCTTTCTGAGCTTGGTTGTTTGCTTGCAGATGTTTCAATACCCAATTAAGTAACATCTTCAGTGCAAGCAAGAGTTTGCTACCAGTTGATGAACAGTAGCTTGTCCTGCTCAGCACGTGGACAGACTCAACCACAGTTTCAGCTGGGAAAGTATTCGCTATCTTAGCATCCAAGCCAAGCCAGGAGCCTTGGTAGTACAGTGGTTTAATGCACCCTGTTATTAACACAGCTGCCTGCAATTTCTGCAGGTTCGAATCTCCCCAGGCTCAAGGTCGACTCAGCCTTCCATCCTTTCTAAGGTAGGTTAAATGAGGACCCAGTTTGTGGGGGAAATAAACTGACTTTGTATAAATATACAAAAAGTATGAAGGCTATTGCTTAACGCATTGTAAGCTGCCCTGAGTCTCCGGAGAAGGGCGGCATATAAATCAAATTAAAAAAAAAAAAAATTTCCAGAAGCTTGGCATTCAAATAAATCACCCATCAAAGGACATAGTGAAATACCAGTTCGCATACCACTTCGGACAGACAATAAAAAACTTTGAAAGGAAACAAAAAGACTGGAACACATCCCCTTCAGCAGCTAATATTCAGATAAGCAGGGATTAATACCAGACAAATGATCAGGCAGAAAGCAATACTCTAATCAAAGAACTGGAAAGGAGAAAGCTACAGCATGAAAAAACTGGCAGATAAACTACTACATACAAACAGTCACGTGCCCTGATGATGTTACCTAGTTTGGTAATGAAACATCTGTAGGCAAACAACGAAGTTTATACAGCACCAGGAATACAGGTTTCAAGTTGTTTTATACATTGTGGCCGGGATAAATAGATTTATGGAATGTTTAATCATAGAATGGTTAATAATCATGAGAGGTCCTTGGTGTTCTCTGAGCTTGCTTGTTTTCTTGCAGATGTTTCATTACCCAATGCTAGCACTGATGATATTACCTAGTTTGGGTAAAGAAACATCTGCAAGAAAACAAGCAAGCTCAGAGAGCACCAAGGACCCCTCATGTCAGCCCTGAGCTACAAATATTCTCCTTTATTGATGTTTAATTGTTTAAATTTTAAAACGTGACTTACTTCACACATCTGGAGCTGAAACAGCCTTCTCTCTTTCTCCATTTCTTCTGCTATCTCGGCCCCAGTAATCTCTGTTCGTATCATCCCATGTTGTTTGGCATGTTCCCTTTTTTCCTTTTCAATTTTCGTGCTGTCAAAATTGCAAAACAAACCCACAAAAAGGAGAAACCTGTCAAAACTTTTTTGACAGTCGCAAGAATCCACAAGCCGAGTCCACTAATATAGAAACAATGACATTTCTCATGTTTTCCATTTCAACAGACTTCATCGAACAATAAATTCCAAACCAAAATAGCTCTCCACCTTAAGAGCAAGCTGTTAAGTGCTAAAAAGCAGAAGGAGGAATCCGTTATTTTAAAAAAATCCAACATAAACACGTCAAGAACGAGTTGAGTTCTATAGCACCTTGGCATTTGAGGTTTTTTCCCAATCTAAAAACGCTTCATTTTAAGGAAATTAACTTTGGAAGCGATCCTGTTCCTAAAAAAAAGAATTGTAATATGTTTTGAATCCTTATTTACTTATTGCTTTAAAAAATTGTAACATGATTCACTGATTCATGATGCACTGGTACAGATTCCTAAGTGGGACTGAGTTATATCAGGGGTGAAATTCAGCCGGTTCTATCTGGCTCAGCGGAACCGGTAGCGGCGGCTGCGGGAGGCTCCGCCCACCTGCACGGGGGTCATGACGTCTCTTTTTTGCGACGATTTTCAGTCTCTGCGCATGTGCAGAAGGCTTTGCATATGCGTGGAGAACGGCTTGTGTGAGGCGTACACACATTTGCGAACTGGTAGGGAAGGTAAGTGAATTTCACCCCTGAGTTATATACATTTATTTTTTTTCACAACGAACCATGAAATGACAGACATGTGAAAAGAGTTTAAGAACAGGTAGTCCTCGACTTACAACTGTTTGTTTAGTGACTTTTCAAAATTACAGCATCACTGGAAAAAGTGACTCAGTCATGACCATTTTTCACACTTACAACCATGGTCACGTGATCAAAATTCAGATGCGTGGCAACTGACTCATATTTATGACGGTTGCAGTGTCCTGGGGTCATGTGAACCGCTTTTGCGACCTTCTGGTAAGCAAAGTCTATGGGGAAGTCAGATTCACTTAACAACCGTGTTACTAATGTTAACAAGTGAAATAATTCACTTAACCACGGTGGCGAGAAAGGTTGTAAAATGGGGCAACACTCACTTAACAAATGTCTCACTTAGCAACCTAAATTTTGGGCTCAATTGTGGTTGTAAGTTGAGGACCACCTGTATAGAAAGACAGGAGGTTATTTTATTTTATTTTTCACATTTCCGTCCCGCTCAAAGAGAGACTCTAAGCCATGTACAATAAACTTCTTGACTTTAAGCACAATTGTTTGTTCAGCAAAGTTAACCATACTTACAATTTGGTCTCATAATCCTTCCAGGCTTTATCAAACGGCTTTTTGAGATCCTTAAGGGAGAGAAAATTAACTTAAAATAAGTTTATGGCAGTGCTATGTTTAAAAAATGCATGCTTAAGGTACTATTCCACGATTATAAAATGACCTAAAAGCTTTAAGTATTCGCGCCCCCCCTCCCGCCCAGGTGAATCTTAAGAGCTCATATATCTCAAGTTTTTTTAAAAAACGGATTGATGGGAAAGATAAGTATGCAGTTACAAGTAGATGTAATCAGATGTTCATGCAAATGTGATAATGTCCCCACTATATTGATTTGTTGTTTCTGTTAGTTGCGAAGTCGTGTCTGACCCATCGTGACCCCATGGACAATGTTCCTTCAGGCCTTCCTGTCCTCTACCATCCTCTGGAGTCGATTTAAGCTCACGCCGACTGCTTCAGTGATTCCATCCAGCCACCTCATTCTCTGTCATCCCCTTCTTCTTTTGCCCTCCATCGTTCCCAGCATTAGGCTCTTCTCCAATGAGTCCTTCCTTCTCCTTAGGTGGCCAAAGTATTTGAGTTTCATCTTCAGGATCTGGCCTTGTAAAGAGCAGCCAGGGTTGATCTCCTCTAGGACTGACCGTTTGGATCGCCTTTCAGTCCAAGGGACTCGCAGGAGTCTTCTCCAGCACCAGAGTTCAAAGGCCTCAATTCTTAGGCGCTCAGCCTTTCTTATGGTCTAACTTTTACAGCCATCCATTGCAACTGGGAAAACCATAGCCTTGACTATACGCGCTTCTATATTGATAGATAACCGCAAAAGCACAGAAATAACCCCCCATTATTAAAGCCCATAGTAAATGTGTAAACTTACCCCTTTAATTCCTTTCAAATCCCCTTTCAACAGGGAGTCCAAGGTGAAGATAACATTATGGCTCAAGCCTTGCAGCTAGGGAGGAAAAGGAATATTATTCAGTATTTAAAAACAGTGAACTTAAAATAAACTACAGATAACCCTCCACTTATAAGCATTCATTTAGTGAGGGTTCGAAGCTACAACAGCACTGAAAAAAGTGACTTATGACAGTTTTTCACACTTTCAGACTGTTACAGTATCTCCGTGGTCACATGATCAAAATTCAGACACTTGGCAACTGACTCATATTTATGACGGATGCAGTGTCCTGGCATCATTTGATCATCTTTTGCAATCTTCTGACAGGCAAAGTCGATGGGGAAGCTAGTTTCGTTTAACGGCCATGTTACTACAATTCGAAGACTTCACCTTTCTTCACTGATAGCTACCTGCCTGCCACGTTTGACACCCCTCTCTATGTCTGTCTGTCTATCTATCTATCTACTTATCTACTGTATCCATCCTATCTATCTATCTATCTATCTATCTATCAATCATCTATCTATCTATCTATCTATCTATCTATCTATCTATCTATCCATCCATCCATCCATCCATCCATCCATCCATCCATCCATTGTATCTATCTATCTATCTATCTATCTATCTATCTATCTATCTATCTATCTACTGTATCCATCCATCCATCTAAAAAACAATTAAGTACAGATAGTCCTCAAATTACAATCATTCATTTAGTGACTGTTCGAAGTTGCAACAGCATTGGAATAGTGACTTGACTGTTTTTCTCACCATTATTGCAGCATCCTAGTCAGATGCTTGGCAACTGGTTCATATTTATGACCGTTGCAATGTCCCGGGGTTATGTGAATCCCTTTTGTGACCTTCTAATGAGCAAACCATTCCTCAATGAGGAAACCAGATTTTCTTAACAATTGTGTTGCTAACTTAACAACTGCAGCGATTGTGGCAAGAAAAATCGTAAAATGGGGCAAAACGTATTTAAAAGCTTCTTAGCATTGGAAATTGTGGGCTAAATTTGTAGTCGTAAATCAAGGGCTACCTATACCAAAGTAACCTCATTTCTGGGACACATTTACACTCTAGAGCAGATATTTAACTTATTCCTACGTATTGGCAGACCAAACTTTGTACAGCGCAGGTTTTATCCTAGTTAAGAAAACTACACCAACTTTTGACAAGAAGAAAAGGATTTCAAGAAGGTGTTTTTAGATAAAGAGTAACCCGTTCAAGAACTGCAGAACAATATTCAGCCAACACAGCTTAACCCCCACTGAAGATCGTAGTTGGGCTTCCCATGTTCAAAAGACTTTACTTCTTTAAAGCAGCTGGAAGTCTTTTGAATTTAAGAGCGCGTTTCCAAGGGAGAAGAGGTTCTCCTTTTTTTTCATTTTTTCAAAACTAAAATACAACTGGGGAGGATATCTTGAAGAGCAGGCAAACTGTTCTTCTGTTCAAATATTTATTTATTTATTTAAGAGGGTTTATATGGCCGCCCACTCACCCTGGGTTGCTGACGAAAATAAAAACCCAATAGGCAAATAGCTAAAAACAATAATGCTCCCCCTTGCCAAATAACCATCAATCAGATAAGCTATTTGATGGGCTTCATCCCACTCTGGGTTCCCCAGGTTTTTCCCTTTTGTAAAGAAAGAAAAGTAAAATTCTTTGAACGCTGAGATTTGAGTCAAATTGTGAGCCTTTTGGAGGGACGATGCAGTGGTGGGATTCAAATTTTTTTTACTACCGGTTCTATGGGCATGGCTTGGTGGGCATGGCATGGCATGGCATGGCGGGCGTGCAGGGGAAGGATACTGTAAAATCTCCATTCCCACCCCGCTCCAGGAGAAGGTTACTGCAAAATCTCCATTTCCTCCTGCTCAGCTGGGACTCGGGAGGCAAAGAATAGATGGGGGTGGGGCCAGTCAGAGGTGGTATTTACCGGTTCTCTGAACTACTCAAAATTTCCGCTACCGGTTCTCCAGAACTGGTCAGAACCTGCTAAATACCATCTCTGGGACGATGGCAAAATAATGCAATTCTGAGACACAAGGGAAAGAACAGGATGGGTGGACTTCAACTCCCAGAATTCCCCAGCCAGCATGAAGTCTGCAAATCTTCCGGTTTCCCAGGTTGGAAAAAAAAGTTATATACAGGTAGTCCTCGACTTACAACAGTTCACCTAGGGACCATTCAAAGTTACAACGGCACTGGAAAAAAGTGACTTATGACAGGTTTTTTTTATAGTTACAAATCTTTTGCAGCATCCTCATGGTCATGCAATCAAAATTCAGATGCTCGGCAAGTGACTCATATTTATGACGGTTGCAAGTGTCCCCGGGGCGGGTGGGGGGGTCATGTGATCCCCTTTTGTGACCTTCTGACCAGCAAAGTCAATGGGGAAGCCAAATTCACTTAACAAACTGGGTTACTAACGTAACTGCAGTGATTCACTTAGCAACCATGGCAAGAAATGTCATAAAATGGGGTAAAACTCACTTATCAAATTTCTCTCTTAACAGCAGAAATTTTGGGCTCAATTGTAAGTCGAGGACTACCTGTATATGAAATCCCACCCCTGCGAACCAGTTTCAAATGTTTCTGCATCTCTCAACTGTCAGCAGATTTATGGCTCAACTTATAAAAACTATTTATCCAAAAGATCACAAGATGATGGATCAAATTAATCAGCTTCCTTCATTGACTTTGCTTGTCAGAAGCTGACTGAGAAGATCGCAATGGGAGATCAGGTGATTTCGGGACGCTGCAACTTTGAACACTCCCTAAAGGAGTAGTTGTAAATGGAGTTCTACCTGTATGGATTTGGAGGAATAGTGAGGTACGAATTGTTTATGAAGATGTAGAAACTTTGATATTAAATACGGAAGTTGAAGGTTTATGTATATTCATATTCCATGAACTCAAAGCTGCTGGGTATTGACATTCAACCCTTCGACACCTTCAGGAGTTTATGATGGAAAACCTAAATTTCAGAGTAGAAAAAGACATCCAGGCAATTGGGGTAAAGGCCTTTGCCCTTGGCGAGCCGGAAGAGCAATTTTGGAAGGCTCCAAAGGTCTTCTCCTAAAGATGATAGCAGCTCATTGCAATATTTACTAGCTAATGTTCATGCAAGATACTGTCATCTTGATGTAAAGAGCCTTGAGGAGGGATTCTTCATTTGGTAGTCATGAATGTCCCAGACTCCTGCTGTTTTCTTCAAAATAACAAAAGGCTGTGCCTTCTGGATGTATGTGCAACATCAAAACACTCATAAAAAAATGGGTGTCATCGCTCCCAGGTAAATCAGACAGGAAGCACAACTAAATGAACTAATTCTAATTTACTGTAAGGCTACATTAACAGAATCTTGCAAGTCTGAAGGTGCAAACTTCCTGATGCAGCTTCTCATTGCATGACGCATTAGGACAGGTCTCTCCTTAGTTTCTTTCTCTTGACTGTTAAGCCACTGGGGGCTCTTGTCTCTCTTATCTGATTGTTTCCTAGCCAGTATCTCTTCCCCTTGTTCCCCAAAGTCATCCATACATTCCATTAGAATGAGTGGTGCTTGTGTTACACGGTGCAATGCTGCGTTTTGTCAGACTGACCCTCTTTGGAAGTTGTTGCTGATGGATTTGACATAATAATTGAGGTTCCTTTCCAAAAACAACTTTGGAGAGACTCAGCCATAGCTTCAGCTAGGAAGCTGTGACAGTCTAGACTAAGCTAAATCCAAAAATGCTAGAGAATTCCTGGAAGCTCTGCATTCAGACAAATCAGCCATCTACAGATCCATAGAGATAAACCACATTTACACAGCATTCAAAAGAGGCAATAAGAAAGCTAAGAAGGGCACAAAAGGATCAGAAGACATCTTTTCCTGCAACCAAGACCCAGAAATGCAGGGATTCACATCAGACAACCAATCAAGGAGAAAACAATAGCCTAATCAAGCAACTAACAAAAAAAGGCACCCCCACCCCCACCAACACTTGTAGACCAAGCTATTGTATATTAACAGGAAGCAAACCCCACACTCAATAGCACCAATGATGTTATCTTGACGAGTCATGAACTATCGGTAAGGTCAGAGAGCACCTAGGACTCCACAGAAACAACTGCTTAGAACTTCCCTTACAGAAAAGAAAAATTAAAACACACTAACAGAGGAAGAATTGATTAAAAAAAATCCTAGAGTGTGCCAAGATGGACAAATTAACAAAAGAACTTAAAAGAAAAAGAAGATACGGAATATTATGTAATATGGAACAAATGGTATACCTGGCTGGAGACCAGAAATAGTGAACAATAAGGACAAGGGAGAAGTTATAAATGTAAAATGTTTATAGGACCATGTATAAAATGTACAAAATTAATATTATGATTGTTAGGAATTATAGTGTAAATAAGAGAGAAAGGGACAAGAAGAAAATGAATAGTATAAAGGGAATTGGGTGAAATATTAGAAGATGACCGTTACGAAACAGTTGTAAAAAGGGAATATATATCACGTGTTTTGTGTTTGTTATATTGTGTTGTGTTATAAATAAAAACAATTTAAAAAAAAAGAACTTCCCTTACACCAGGGGTGTCCGAACTTGGCAATTTGTGGACTTCAACTCCCAGAATTCCTCACGCAGGCTGGGGAATTCTGGGAGTTGAAGTCCACAAGTCTTAAAGTTGTCAAGTTTGGAGACCCCTTGCTTTACACCAATGGAACAAATTCAAATATAACATTTAGAATATAATAAATACTACATATTGGCTTCACACAGTATTAGAGAAGGAAGGCGAGCCAGTTTGGTGTAGTGGTTAGAGACACTAGGCTAGAACCCAGGACACTGTAAGTTCTAGTCCCACCTTAAACACAAAGCCAACTGGGTGACTTTGGGCCAGTTATTCTTTTTTAGCTCTAGGAAGAAGAAAGGGGGACATCACTTCCTAAAAATATTACTATGAAAACTGCCTAAACTTGTCCAGGAAGTCACCAATGTCTACACTGACTTGAAGGCACACCCCAAATTTAATACAATTCATTTACAGGAACAGGATTTCTATTGCATGCTTTCATATTGAACCTTAGTCACTTCTTAATTACTTCTCAGTTTATAGCAGCCGTAGGTTGCCAGTAGATTCAAGATACTAACCTTCCAAACTAGAATTACAAGGAAGAATTAAAGACTAGAGCATGAAAGAAGAGAAAGATGGAGGGCGTAAGTCCAAATTATGATTACAGGTTGGATCTGATGTCACATACATTCTGCTGTTTGTATATTGTGGTGGGCCATGGTGGCACAATGGTGAGAATGCAGTATTGCAGGCTGACTCTGCCCACAGCCAGGAGTTCGATCCTGACGGGCTCAAGGTTGACTCAGCTTTCCAACCTTCCAAAGTCGGTAAAATGAGGACCCAGATTGTTGGGGGCCGTATGCTGACTTTGTAAGCCGCTTGGAGAGGGCTGCTAAAGCACTGTGAAGCGGTATATATGTGCTATTGCTATTGTATCACTCAAAATAAGCTTACTTGAACGGCATACCTTGCAGTAATAATTCCTATACATTTAGACAATAAATACAATATGTATAGCTTTACAGCTATAAATTGGGTTCTGAGGAATGGAAAAGTTATTATTTTATTACTGAACAGATTTATTAAATGTACTGTACTGAGCAGGAGGAGATTGAAGGAGAAGAAAAATGCGCTCACTTAAAATCATTTCAACTGTTTCTCCAGAATTATCCAGTGCAAAAACCAAACAAGAAAGTTAATTTTAAAACCCAAATTTAGGGTGAATGCCATTACAAATGACTGCATAGACTGAATAGCTTCAGTCTTCACAAAGCTAGACCAAGTGCTTAAAAACATTGCATTAGACCTCAGAAAACCTACCATTTTTTCCATAGCTGCATCGAACTGGATTTAAAATGTAATGTTCCCTCCAGAAATGTAAATGGTTCGGTTGTTTATTACAATCAATACTTACGTAACATTTATATAACTTATATAACAACTGTAACGTCCCAAAATTCACAACCCTTATATAATAATAACTGTAGATATTTTAGAGGACAAAAAGATTAGAAGCGTCTCACCAGATTTTTAAGCAGTGTTGACAATTCCTTAGTTAGCGTGGAAAATTTTACAAAAGCAGTGCCCAGGTCTGGATTATCTCTACTTAAGAAATTACTTCCAAATTTATCTAGCACTTGTGCATAGCTTTCTTCATTTTGGCTATGTTCTGAAAGAGAAAAATGTTCAGTTAATTCCACTTTACAAGAAGACAAAATAATAACAATGAGAAATAGCAAGTATTTTTTTTCTAAGGGAACAATGCTAAAATTGGCCATTTGTTCGCTTCAAAGATATTAAAAGTTATGTTATTTATGTTAGTTATTTTCAGCTATTTATGCCAGTTAAAACCTGGAGGGTGTCAGCAAGTATTTTAACAAGAGACTCGGCGTCTTCCAACCAAGATTCCATTGTCAAATCCTAAAGATTTGCTATTTTGACCATGTTACTAACGAAGAAGTGCTCCTGCAAATTACATAACATAGTCACATGCAGAAGATTCCAACTTGCAGGTCATAAACTCCGTATGGAGAATAATCAAATTCCCAACACAGCAAGAAGATAATAATGCCAAACGGCCAACAGGATGCCCTTGAAATACATGATGAAGAACATTCATAGATGACTTAAAGACCTTAAATGTCACATGGGAAGACACCAAAGTCTTCGCCCCAAATACATAGCATGGGTGTCAGCCCTGGAGGCCATCTTTGAATCTTCAGGGCTGCCACATTTAGTGCTGTGGGAAAGTAGGAAGGGGGATTGCATGGAGTTGGAGAGATATCTAGCCATAACAACGTTCTTTTCTCTGGGAGTCAAGGACATTCAGCCTGCACCTGGAGTGGCGTGACTGGGAGGCATCTCCAGTTGGGACGGTGCTTTGATTGGACCACGTGGTGGACATGTGGATGCAGGGTAGGGACTTCAACTTTCCTTTGGGTGGGAAAAACCCGGAAGCTTTCAGATTTGGGTTTTTCCAGATGTGCCAATATGACATCTCTAATAAAGTGGAACTTTGAGGAACTTCTAGCCTCGAAGTCTTCTTTCATTGGGAGTGTTACTTGGAACCCTGACAATGGGATGCTTTAAAGCAGGGGTTCTCAACCTGTGGGCTGCGGCCTATGGGCCACCGGGCCATGTGAGTATAGCTGGCCAGTGCGCGTGTGAACACACACACAGGCCCATTCACGCGAGCATCATGGGGGCTAGCGGCCCCACTCATGAGGGCACTTGCAGCCCCATTCATGTGATCAACAGGTGTTTGTGCACATGCATAACCGCGCGTGTGTGTCTGCCGTTACCATAAAACCATCCCCTCTTTTCCCCCTTCCCCTACTCCAGGCCACAAACCTGGAAAGGTTGGGGAACTCTAATGCTAATAATGCTAATAATGCTAATTGCAATAGCAATATTGGACTTTTAGAGAGAAATTATGCAAATAATGTTTTGCTCTCTTAGAAAGTCAAAGCTGAGACTATTAAAAAAATAATTTGAATAATGACTTAATAATAAGAATTCAGCATCAACAGCACATCATCACTCCAGGAACATCTTGTGGTATCATATACAGGTAGTCCTCAACTTACAACAGTTCATTTTGTGACCATCTGAAGTTATAACGGCACTGAACAAAAGGGACTTATGACCGTTTTTCACATTCATGATCGTTGCACCATCCCCATGGTCATGTGATCAAAATTTGGATGCTTAGCAACTGATTCATATTTATGACGGTTGCAGTGTCCAGGGTCATGTGATCACCTTTTGTGACTAATCATGTTACTAACTTAAGAACTGCAGTGATTCACTTAACAACTGTGGCAAGAAAGGTCAGAAAATAGGTTGACATGATAGCAGCGTTCCAATATCTCAGGGGCTGCCCCAAAGAAGAGGGAGTCAACCTATTCTCCAAAGCACCTGAGGGCAGGACAAGAAGCAATGGGTGGAAACTAATCAAGGAGAGAAGCAAATTAGAACTAAGGAGAAATTTTCCGACAGAACAATTAGAACAATGAATCAGTGGAACAACTTGCCTCCAGAAATTGTGAATGCTCCAACACTGGAGCATTCCAGTTATCCATTCTTTTTAAGATGTTGGATAACCATTTGTCTGAAGTGGTGTAAGGTTTCCTGCCTAAGCAGGGGGTTGGACTAGAAGACCTCCAAGGCTCCTTCCAACTCTGTTCTGTTCTGTTCTGTTCTGTTCTGTTCTGTTCTATTCTATTCTATTCTATTCTATTCTATTCTATTCTATTCTATTCTATTCTATTCTATTCTATTCTATTCTATTCTATTCTAATGGCAAAACTCACTTAACAAATGTTTTGTTTAGCAACAGAAATTTTGGGTTCAGTTGTGATCATAATTCAAGGTCTACCTGTACCAGAGTGTGAATAGACTAAAGTCCATTCCCTGCTTCAATCATTAAGACATAGCATATTAATTTAAAAAATCATCATGCTTTAATAGCATATTAATTAAAGAAAGGAAGAAAAGCAGTAATGTCCAACAAAAGAATTAGGGATGAAATTGGGAAAACAAGCAAAAATCAAAGAATGTTTCCTAAAACAAAACAAGTTTTCAACATTGAGTCAGTAACAAATTATTCACTGAAGAGATTTGGTCTCCTTGACTATAGTTGAGCAACCAAGGGCATGGCATAAATAAAGGCTATGAATCACAGCAAACAAACTAAAGGCTAATTAAAAATCTCTTCTCTGTTGTGTCACCATCCTACAAAAGCTGTATTCGACATGATACTCAAGTATTTCTTAATATTAGTATTGGATATATTAATAGTGATAAATAAGTGCATCACAAAAGACAGGGACCTAAAGAAGAAATATTTTATTGGTCTAATTGTAGAAATTCCTGTGGCAACATATTTTGCCATATATATATATATATACTGTATTTTTTGGAGTATAAGACGCACTGGAGTGTAAGACTCAGCTTAGTTTTTGGGGAGGAAAATAGGAAAAAAAAAATCTGCCTACCAGGTATTCATCTGGCTAGCGTCCTTAGTCTGGTCAGCTTCAGCACATTAATTTGTTGGTTTTTTATCCCCTACTTGGGGATAAAAAACAGCTTCTAAGGCACAGCTGAGAGGAAACAGCAATAAGAAAAGCAGGCAAAGCACGGGGAGATCGCTTCACTCGGCTAGCGCCTAGTTAGGGCTGGAAAAAAGCTTCTAAAGAACAGCTAAGAGTCAGAGCAAAGCATGGAGATCGCTTCAGTCACGTTAGAGCAGGCAAAGCCAGCGCCTCGTTAGGGCTGAAAAAAAGCTTCAAAGCTACATTCAAAGTATAAGATGCACCCAAATTTTCAGCCTCTTTTAGGGGGGGAAAAAGGTGAGTCTTATACTCCGAAAAATATGGTGTGTGTGTATGTATGTATGAATGTATGTATACACATACATATATAAACAAAAAAAATTCTGCCTCTATCTCCGCAGCCCGTTTGCCTCCGCGGTCTGATCACTGCGGCCCCTCCCCCCCACTGCAATATTCACTGTATAAGATGCACAGACATTTCCACCCACTTTGGGGGAGGGGCGGAAGTGCGTTTTATAATCTGAAAAATATGGTAATTGCTTGTCTGTTAACAAACATACATGCTGCCCATTTACCAGAAAGCAACTCTGATTGGCATGTATACAGGTAGTCCTCGACTTACAACTGGTTGCTTAGTGACAGTTTGAAGTTACAATGGACCTCCCAAAAGTTACTTACAACCTAATATCAACGTTACGATCGCTACACATACCCCTGCAGTCACATGATGACATTCTGGGCACTTGGCAACTGGTCTACTTGTATGACTATTTTCAGTCTCCTGCAAGTCACATGACTGTGATTTTTGATGGGGGGTTTCACTTAAACCACTTCACTAATGTTTCATTTAGCAACAGAAATGTTGGGGTTAATCAGATTTACTTTATTTGGTACTTTACTTTGCTCTCTAGGACTAAATCTGGATGGGAAATAACAAATCAGTTAATTATATCTCTCCGTAAGTCAATTTTCAAGGCCTGGTTACCACTATTCCAGCATTTAAGGTGTCAGACTCAAAACAACTCTCAGATTTTTCTTTTTCACATACGAAAAATGCAAGCACGTTCCTTTTTTAATGTAGGGAAGAGAGATTAAAAATTAATGATGAATGTAAACAACGCTGCAGAATTACCACTGTGCTGAATGTCACACTTATTACCTTTAGCGCTAAAAGCAGATGTTATTCTAGGAAAACTGTTAATGTTCGCCAGTAAGATTTATTAGTGCATGCATATAATATCCTTCAGCTACTACCCGGATGATGATTGATATAGCTGTTGAGGAATGTTATGGTGCCTTTGGTTGTCTAAAATGGTTTTATTTCTTTGGGTTTTATTACCTTTTGAGTGATGTTGTGAGCCACCAAGAGTTGTGTTGAGTAAGACGAGCATTCCATATAAATATTTTAAATAAATATGGGCTGGCAAGTGGAAATAGAAGGAAGCCTTCTCAAATACTGGTTCTCTTGGTTTTAATCAGTACGTTAAATATATATACTGCTCAAAAAAATAAAGGGAACACAAGCAGAAGACATCCGAGATCTGAATGAATGAAATAGCCTTATTAAATACTTTGTTCTTTACATACAGTAGTTTATACACTGCTCAAACAACTAAAGGGAACACAAAACTACTGTATGTAACAAACAAAATATTTAATAAGGCTATTTCATTCATTCAGATCTCGGATGTCTTCTGCTTGTGTTCCCTTTATTTTTTGAGCAGTGTATATTCAAAAATGCATTTGAAGCAAAAAATTTTTTGAAAGAACACCATAACTATTCCGAAGGTTTAGGAGTATTTTTTTTTTTAATATATTGATAATACAAAGAACTATACAGAGGTAGTCCTTGACTTATGACTACAATTGAGCCCAACATTTGTTACTAAGAGAGACATTTGTTAAGTGAATTTTGCCCCATTTTACAACCTTTCTTAGGTTGTTCAGTGAATCACTGCAGTTGCTAAGTTAGTAAATCTGTCTTTTACTTGCTTAATAGAGACAGATATAGCCAGAGAGACACTTAAAAGGTTCTGAACCTTTAAATAATTCCTGGGAATATAAACAAAAGGATATAAACTTGAAAAAAATTACATTTAAAAAAATGTTTAAAGTTATTTTCTTTAGTCTGCTTCATCTCTTGTGAAAATATTATAATAAAAATCTGTATTTTTCCCACTCCATTGTATTTTGAAATTCTCCCTAATCCTTATAGTTCAAAACGATTTATTTCAAATGTATTTATTATTTGTTAACATGCAGTAAATAATAATATAGAGAAATAAAGCTTACCTTGCCCAGAATTATATATTGCTTTTACAGATTTTTTCACTTTTTGTAGTGCAGTTCTGTCCTGATCTAAAGCCTAGAAGGAAAAAGAAAACAGAGGAAAAGAAATTCAAATCAGGGAAAAGAAACTCAATTGGATACAGGCAGTCCTCGACTTACGACCACAATGGAGCCCAAAATTTCTGTTGCTAAATGAGACTGTTGTTAAGAGAATTTTACCCCATCTTGCAAGCTCAGAGGGCACCACAGGCCCCTCATTTCAATCCTGAGCTACAAATATTCTCCTTTAGTTACTTGCATGCAGATGATTTATATTATGTATTTCTGTCTACAAATAAATGCCGTTTTCATTACTTTTCTTTGTTTTGTTGTTTCCTTTTCAAAATTTCCAGATTGTTTATTTTTCAGTTTGTTTTTGTACTCAATTAATAAAAGGCAAAGCAATAATAGTAAAAGGCAGACTGAATAAAAGCTCAGAGAGCTGAACGCTTTAGACAATTAAGAACGGAGGTTTAATTTTTTTTCAAAGGTACTAAATTATTAATGCCATGTTCTTTTGGTGAGCAATTATGTGAGAAAGAAAGCCTTCTAAATGGAAAGTATTCCTTTGAAATGTATTTTATAATCGCTTAAAAGACAGAACTTAACATTTTTTTTGCAAAAAGAACATCAAATCAAAATAATTATCAATATACTGAAGAATAAGCCTCATTTCTCTGCAAGATTATTCCGTTTAATTAGCTCTACAAATGAAATACAGCATCTGGTCTGCAAGATTCACTGATAAGATAGATAGCCTTTCACTGCGAGGACCTCAAATAATCCAGCTCTAATCAACAATTCACAAATGTTACCATCTGTTTGGTCTCTAGCATGTTGTTATCCAAGATAAAGAATATATTCAGTGCATTCTCCTATAAGTAAAATTAGACACCCTTGGTTAATTAGCTTTAAATTTGCATTGGCATCCTTCAGTCTCAAGAGACTATGGTATCGTGCTCTGGAAAGAGGTTCTAAAACAGCATCTGGTGTGACTAAAAAGGCCAATTCGAGAGTGGCAATCCCTTCCACACTGAGGGCAGATACATTCTGTCCCCTGCCCACCCCCCCAGATTTCGCTGTTTCCGGGATTGCCTCTTTGCCTCAGCCTGCCGAACAAGGGTCTCTTCGAATTGGAGAAGGCCATGCTGCGTCTTTAGCCTCTAAGCTGAACGATCGGAGGTCAAGGTTTCCCAGTTGTTAATGTCCATTCCCAGGGCCTTTAGGTCCCTCTTGCAGAACCTTATATCGCAGCTGTAGTCTCTCTCTGAGGCGCTTTCCCTGCATTAATTCTCCATACAGGAGATCTTTTGGAATCCGACCATCAGCTATTCTCACGACATGCCCCAGCCAGCGTAGACGTCGCTGTTTCAATAGTGTATACATGCTAGAAATTCCAGCACGTTCCAACACTGCGCTATTTGGAACTTTGTCCTGCCAGGTGATGCCAAGAATTCATCGGAGACAGCGCATAATTAGCTTTAACCAGCAAGGTTAAAACATTTTATACCTGCAATTATTATGGTAAACTCAGCCACTACAAAATAAGTTAACCAAGTTCAATAACTTGACTTAATAATTAGTTTTCAGGAGTATATTTGCCCAGAAAATCTAGGACAAAATACACATTGTAATGAACACTACCAAAACATATTTTGCAAAGTAATATTTCTTACTTTGGTCCAGTTACTTTAATTTTCTTTTAATTAACAATGCTAAGGAAGAACTTTTCAAGTTAGGTTTACAAATTAGACTTATGTTAGGTTTCAATAAAAATAATGAAGGAGGCTGGCTATCTTGAAAAAAAACGAAAGAGTTGTGATTTGAGGGATCCAATCTGGGTCAATCACCGGGACTAGAGGTTTAGTGTTCTGAGCTTTCAGACTGGTGCTGGAGTCCATCCTCAGGGAACTTCTCTCTAGTAGAATGTACTAGAGCGATTGGGTCCTGTAAATTTATCCTGGGACACGTATATTCACCTTCATTTGTGAATTGAGATTTTGGTAGCATCAACATCTCAAGTTAAAGTTAAAAAAGAATCTTAGAAATCCATATTATGGTCTCCCCCCTCAACCCCGGAAAAATCCTACACGTCATCATGCAATCTCTTGGTAACAATTTGAGTGCTCTATGTTGATCTATCACCCTACAACACCCTTAACTGATTTCTTTTCTACATTTCAAAGAGTTCCTTTACCACTGACTTTCATTGACTTGCTGTTCAAAACTAATTGGTTTATTTTCTTCTCTCTAGAACCGTGATGGCAAACCTGTGGCACACAGTGCCCTCTCTGTGGGCACGCGAGCCGTCATCCCTGTTCAGCTCTGCCACGCATACGCCAGTCAGCTGGTCATCAGGTCTTTGCCACGCATGCATGGGGGGGCGGGGTGTGTGGGGGGGGCATGCATACATGGGGGTGGGGCACATGGGGGGATTTGGCATGTGCAGGGGGTCCGTGTGTGCATGCACAGGGGGAGGAGGGAGTGGGGGGCATGTGGATGCATGGGGCGCATGAGGTGGGGGAGGTGCATGCGCAGGGGGCATGTGCGCATTGAATTTTGGGGGTTTGGAAGGGCACTCGGTGAGGAAAAGGTTAGCCATCGCAATTCTAAAACAACTCTCTCTACTTTAACCTGTGCTGAATTCTTTCTCAATGATTACCGAAACAAACACAAATTAAGAGTTGCAAATTCAAAACAGTGATGGGAACAACGATTAGAAATTATTTCTTCTTTCTAACCCATAGCGAAGATTATTTATTTCAGTCAAAGAAATTAAAAATAAATTACTATGTAGTTCTGAACTAGTAGTGCAGTTAGTATGTAGTTCTCTTCTATTGGTATCAACCCAAAATTTTCTTGCATTCCTGTCAATAGCTCTGCATTTCTTGCCATCCAATACTGTGTAATCCTCCCAAAATAATCTGAGTAACACGTCACTGCTTCCAAAGAACAAGTTACAGGTATTAAAAATAAGCACAAAATCAAAAATCGTGTTGAAAAAATATATACAGCACAATTGCAAAGGTAACCCCTCCTCCAGAGACACTATGATTGATTTTAGGATTTTTTGAAGTATGGAGTTGCAACCTAAAAAAAGCATGCAGTTCAACCTAAGGAATATTTGCATGAGAGAGTTTTCTGCTTATCCAAGCTTCTTCAATGTGACTATTGCGGTCCTTCAGATGTCAACAATGTTCCTTTCAATATTGAACGTGTTCCTGAACTTCAAAACTGAATTCTCTAGGCCCGTGTTTCTCAACTTTAGCCATTTTAATATGTGTGGACTACAACTCCCAGAATTCCCCAGATACCAAAGCTGTCTAGGAAATTCTGGGAATTGAAGTCCACACATCTTAAAATGGCTGAGATTGAGAAATACTAGGGGCTATAGGAGGGCATGAGAGTTCAAGTAGAAATATGTTTATTACTTTCTGAATCCAACTGTTCTTTCTGAGATGTATTTACTTCATAAAATATTAATGTTCATTCCTAAAAATGGAAGCATAAACATAAACATTCACAAAATGACCTCTCTTTTCTTCATGCAGTGAAAGATATCTCTACTGTTATCAGAATTGCCCAGAAAGAAATTTAGACAAACTGGACAAACTAACCCCTTGATTAAACTCAAAAAATATAAAGGATTTCTCCACAATAAAATATATTTCTGAAACCACACATTGGCCACCGAAGAAAGACTACTGTACAAATTTTAACCTAAGAGTGTCTACTGTTGACCTCACTCCATTCCTAAGAGGTCTGTAAGGGGCATGCATAAGAGCACCAGCGTGTCTACCATCCCTGTCCTAATGTTTCCATTAATTGTATTCATCTTATGTATTTAATTCATGCTTATACTTATATATATTATCTAATATGTACTCGACAAAATAAATAAATAAATAGATAAATAGATAAATAAATAAATAAATAAATAAATAAAATAAGTTGAGGCTGCCTGAACTAGATAACTTTTCATATTTATATGATAAGCATTTTCTTCTCCTGAATCGTAGAGAACATGAGTTTCTTACAGCAACTCTCACCACAGATAATTAATTCAAAAAACCGACTTTCTAAAAGTCATATAAATTTAAAGTCAGCTGATAACAGTTTGAAAAAAACACCATGTAACACTAAGTACACTAAGGTAGTTAAGCAGAAAATTGTTCATCCTACAGCTATTTGTTGAGAAGTCTTCTTCACTAGATTGTAATTATCTCAACAACCTATTCATTAGGAGTAAAATGGATTAAAACTCTTTCACAATTTCCTGAAATTGAGTAAAGACATACCGAGACATGAGGGCATGACTCATTCCAATTTTCTGTACCACTATTTACATTAAGTAGTCAAAAATCAGAAAGAAAATCTGATTTTAAAATCACCAAATGTGATTAAAAGGCAAAAGGTTTTGTGAGCTGCAGTTCATAAATAATAAAATCTGCTCGCTTGAAAACATGTCACAAAACACCTTCAGATGTTTTGCTGCCGTGCAGTAACACAGCTCTTCTCCTACATTCACTCAGGCAATCCTCGAATTACGATCGGTTGCTTAGTGAGCATTTGAATTTCTGACGGACCTACTTTGGGGCTAAATACAACCTAGATTTGGAGTTCCAATGGTCCCCTCCCCTCACAGTCACGTGACCGCACAACCCAACTGCATTTACAGCTGTTTACAGCATCCCATAATCGCATGACTGCATTTTACAATCGTTTTGCTGAAAACCGGCATTTACTTCCGGTTTTCAGCAAAATTGCATTCATAGCGAGTCACTGGTTCACTTAAGAATTGTAGCGTTTGCTTAACAACCATCACAAAGGATGTAAAATCAGATTGATCCGAGTTTTATAACTGGCATGTTATGCCCATAATGGCTCCATTACAGTTGAAATTCTAGGACTAACTATAATTAGAATCAATTTTTAGTTTCCCTGGTTTACAAATGCCCCTGCTCAAACTAGTATAGGTAGTCCTTGACTTACCACCACAATTGAGCCCAACATTTCTGTTGTTAAGTGAGACAGTTG